AAGCTGTAATTCGGGCGCAGGCACACCTAAATTAAATAGTGCAGATGTGCTTAAGCTTCAACAGGGACAAACTAGTGGAACAAACAATGATACCACTGCTACAATTTCCGATGCCGATATAGAGAGCATTTTCGAGAAAATGCATTCGGATAAGGGTGAGCCAACGGTCGAACCCACCACGCCCGCGAAGGCTGGTGGTGGTACCAGCGATCAAGTTGTGATCACCACGCAGGCAGATTCAGAGGGAGTTATAACGTTTAATATAACTCTTCCTAACCAAAAAAGTGAAGTCGGCACTGGGGCAGACGAGCAGTACACTCTCAACACGCAACAGACCGTACCCGTTTCGGTAAGCATTGAAATGCCTGTGCTCGATCAAGCCGATGAAACTATGCATGCAGCAGCAACCACTACAAGCAATATAACCACAACAGTGCTTACCAAGCAAGAAGTTGACGTGAAATCTTCTATGTTAGGTCCGGTTAGTATGCCTAGCTTAGACGATGATTTGGATGAACGTAACTGCCCCTTGGCACAAACCATTGCTTTTAATACACAATCCGAAGTTAAAATTGAAAACAGTTCCAAAGCAAACGGGGATGAAAGTAATATTCAGATTGAAACTGAAAAACAACTTAGTAAAGCTCCAGCAGAGTTAACCTCACAAGAAATAATATCGAGCGGAGAAGTGAATGAGAATAATGAAACTTCGCAGGCTACAGATAAAAACGTTACCGAAGAGATGGCTTCAGAAACCAGTGAGAAAGCCATGCAGGAGCAGCAATTAACTGCTGCTGTCGTTGAAGCCGATCAACAACAGCAAGCATCCCTGCAATTAAACACACCGACTCTACAAGCCCAGACCGAAAGCGGACAAATTAAACTAATACTGAACGAAAACGGTGAATTGTTACAACTCGGTAGTCACATTATTACCGATGGTGATGGTAATCAGATACTCGTGCAGGATCCAGATCAAATACAACAGTTACTACAAACTGCGGGGTTATTTCAAATGATGGCCGATGCCAATGGTGAAATGGTGTTTGTACAAGGAGATAGCAACGAAACCCAGTTAATGGATGCATCTCTCCTCAATGCCGACGGTCAATTGATGATACAACAATCGCAAGATCTCGAAGGAAGCGCTCATGTGATCAGCGAAGATAGTACTCGTGCACCAGTTTCTATATCTTATACCGAAGATTGTCAACCCATTGTACAGTTACAGCAACAAATTCTCGAAACTCCAATTGGCAATTGTGATGCTGTAGAAAAGGAGTGCAATTGTGCAGAGGAAAACGATCAGGTTGTTGCAAGTGATCAAGATATAGTAACAACGAGCGTAAACACTAACTCAAGTGATAACTTCTTTGCCCTTAAAGATCTAATACAATCGACCATAAATTCTCCATTAGCTTCTACGTCTGCCGCGGATGTAACAGTAGAAGGCAAGAATAACTATTGAACTTAAACATAAAAACTATTCCTTCTAAATACTATATGGAGTAAAATTTTTGTACAGGTGAATATTCGCTTGTCTCTCCATCTTCGCATCGCCTTTTAAAGCTTCGTGAGACAAATAAGCACCGTTTCTCTTCTTTTTTTTAATACTTTACGGAGTGTTAATCTGAAGAATTTGCAAAAAACGTTCATACTTTAATTTAGTTATATCATGTTTATATGTTTGTGCTTAAATTAAGGTTTTTCTTTCTTTTTATTGAAAATTAATTAAAATAAAGCAAAAATGATTTAAAAATATTCTGTTCATTTCGAAGGAGCCGCGGTAAGAAATTCGACCAAAATTAAATTGATGTTCATTGTGAAAGTGCATTCAATTCTGTAGCGACGAAATAGGCGACTCACACCATAATATGAACAATAAACTTCTGTCCTAAGTTTATGGGGCGTTTCCCACAAAAACTCAACGAATATCAACGTGCAATCATTGACAGTGAAGTCTCACACGTTTTTTGCTTGATGCGCTTTCGGATTTTTCAGCATTTCAGCATTACGAGATTCGAACCCGCTTTCGCGATTGAATTATTTTGGAGTGGTACGCAGTTTTACTCATGACTTTCAATGTCCAAGGAAACATATTAGCACTGCAATACCGCCCTTGTATTCCGCCTACAGCTTTTAGAAGTCTGCGCAAACCGAACCAAATATTTACGGACTAACACAATATTATGACTACACAGAAAGGAAGTTTGTAAGCAGAATAATACACAAAGATAGTATATCAATTTATATAAATGAGTCTGTCTCCTTTAACTCCGGGATTAGTAGGACTATTTCGTTCTCCCTGGAGTGTCTAATATCTTTATACATTTAATATCAATACGATTTTTTAATGACACTTTTTGTAAGGACACATTCTCCATGTGGATGTTTGGCAATTCCGGTCCCCGTGATCCGCAATAGTTCAGACTATAACGCTTTTGGATATTTCGACATTACGCTTTGGCATTTGAGTTATCTTTAAGTGATATGCACTCTTTCTCATGATTTTCAAATGAGAAATATCAGCGCTGCAGTGCCATGCTTTTATTCCGTCTATTATTTTTCACGCAGAGAAAAGTCTGTGCAAACCTAACTAAATATTTACGGACTGACGCAGTAGTATGACTATACAGAAAACAAGTCTATAAGCAGTCACCTTCCGACATATATTAAGAAGTCTTTGCCTTCGGAACAGAATTACAAAATGTCCCTACGCTTTGCACAAGAACTTCTGAAAAAACGACTTTAATTTTTATTACCTTAGTAAAAATTGAAATCATTTTTTATGAAAAAATGACAATAAAATCAAATACCAAGGATTGCTTTGATTTTTCTTAACAGAATAGTAAATGCATTACGCAGGTGTTGTTAAGGTCGTCTAAAAATAAACAAGCACACAAAACACTATACTATGCAACGACTCTTACACACTACAGTTACCCACATAAGGACTTTTCAACGACGACATTGTAAGCTTTCGTAATGGGGTTGAATCACATCGGTGGCGGCGGTAGGGTGAACACAACAAAACTGACGAACAGGCAAGCTTAAGTACAATAAAAGATGCGTCTATCTCAAGTTCTTCCGGGTATTGTATGCATTCGCACGAAATTAATAGCGCTCTATACCACAAGTGTGTAGAGT